GGGGGCGCAGCGCGGCTCCGCGTGGGGAGCGCGCTGCGGGACGCCTTCCGCCGCCGAGAGCCCTACAACTACCTGCAGAGGGCCTACTACCAGGTGCGGGAGCTGCCGGGGCCGTCGCCGGGGCCCCCCACCCCAGCACCCACGTAGCTGCCCTACTTTACGCTCGCCAGGAGGGGGCGGGTTCCGGCGCCCTGGGACTCGGGGTGGGCCTGGAGGGGGCGGGCCGCCTCTATCCGGAGTGAGTCCCCGAGACTTGTCACGAGGTACCACTAGACCGCTTGGAAACGGCGCTCAGTTAGAATTGGGGTGGGGGTAGCCGGAGGCAGAGTGAAAGTAGATCGAAGATGGAGGGGAGGGACCTGACATTTTAGTAAGTTCTACTGAGAAACATTTCGGGGTGAGCGCCTCCTCTGTCTAGGAATGAAGAGGAGGGGTCCTGGGTCAGGAGAGGAGGCGCTGGCGTTTGTGTGAGCCTTGCTTGGGGTACAAGGGAGGCAAGAGGAGGGAGGCAAGGCTGAGGTGGCCTGGGCAGCCGCTGCCTAGGAAGCTGGGCGTGGTGGCTGCGCCTGGGCAGCCTGAGCAGCCTGGGCAGCTGGTACTGTCGCTGTCGCCTAGCCTACTAGCCTACGTGGCCGGGGAGAGGGGCGCTGGTCACACACACCTCAGCTCTGGGTCCTAGAGGCCCGCGGGTTCTGCTTTTCTCCCCCACTTCCCCACCCCACTTAGCCATCTCTTGCACCGTTTCTCCGGACCCGAGAATTTGAGCCCCACATCCCATGCACCCCAAGGACTTCAGACCCCTTTTCTTGAGCCCCAGACTCCTAAGGGCCCCAACATACAGGCATCTAGTGGTTGGAAAGAGGGCACTTCTGACTGACATGTCTTCCAGGAGGCTCTGCAGTAGTCAGGGGTGTAGGCCAGGGTTATTTCTCAGGGTGGGAGGCTGATGAGGAGGCGTGGGTCTGACACCCCCACCTCAGGGCGTTGACTCCCTCCTCCTGCTTCTCAGTTGAAGAAATTGGACCTGGCAGTAGCTGCAGCACACACCTTCTTTGTGGCGAACCCGACACACCTGCAGATGCGGGAGGACATGGCCAAATACAAACGGATGTCGGGGGTCAGGCCCCAGAGCTTCCGGGACCTGGAGACACCCCCATACTGGGTGAGACCCTCAGCAAACCCCTGTCCTCACCCCGGTCTCTCACAGAACTGGGGCCCATTGTTGAGCCCATTTTCCCCCATGACCAGGGATGGGGAGTCCCTCTCTGGGACTTAGTTTCCTTCCCGAGACTCCTGAGAGCCCTGTGTTGTAACATCCTGATTCTGAGGTCCACCTCACCCGCCACATGCCGAGGTGAAGCGAGACTTGGGGTCTATGTCCCACATGAGATACATATGTCTACCTCCCCGTCTTGTTTGCTGCCCCCTCCCCCAGAACTCAGGTAACGGACCATTTCCTTCCCCAACAGGCAGCCTATGATACTGGCCTGGAGCTACTGGGGCGCCAGGAAGCAGGACTGGCACTGCCCAGGCTGGAGGAGGCCCTGCAGGAAAGCCTGGCCCAGCTGGAGAGCTGCCGGGCCAGCTGTGAGGGGCCTGAGGAGCCACAGAGGGAGGAAGAGGAGGAAGAAGGGGCTGGGAGTCAGGGAGGCCTCTATGAGGCCATTGCAAGTAAGGAACTGGCAATGTGGGAAGCAGCATGGTGCCAGGGCAGGTGTGTGGCACCAACTGAATGGCCCGTGTGTCCTCCACAGGGCACTGGATCCGTGTCCTGCAGTGTCGGCAGCGCTGTGTGGGGGACACAGCCACGCGCCCTGGTCGCAGTTTCCCTGTCCCCGATTTCCTTCCCAGTCAGCTGAGGCGGCTGCACCAGGCCCACGCGCAGGGTGAGTTGGGGAAGGGCGAACCTTGGGATTAGTGGCATGGGACACAGGAAAGGCGGAAGCTTGTCTCTGATGCTATCCTGAGCCCCATCTCTCCTTCCCTCTCTGTGTCTCTGCATCTGTAGTTGGTCATGGGCCCATGGGGGCCACCACTCAGGAGGACACTACTTGGCTCTCCTTTGGGGCCGCTGTGGACAGCGCGGGAGATGGGTCACAAATGGGCTCCTTCTCTTCCTCCCTCTGCTGCTCCTCAGGCCCTTCACAGGGGCCCGGCAGCTCTCCAGCTGGGCCACACATTCCTGCAGGGCCTTCTCCAGCCTGGCCAGTGCCCTCGCTGCTTTTCGCCCACCTTTATTTTCTTCTCTCTTCCTCTCAACTCTCCCCCTCACAGCTGAGGTATGTTTGAGTACGTTTTGGAAAGAAGCAATGGACCCCCTGCTGGCATGGGGGTTTTGGCGTAGGTGGGCAAAGGGAGACCACCTTCTGGGGCTCTGTGTCTGTCCACCTTTGTGTCCACCCTGTGATCATTGTTCTCCATGTCCGACTCCAGTGGGGAATCTGTCCCAGGCTGTGGAAAATGTCTTGAGTGTCCTGCTCTTTTACCCGGATGATGAGGCTGCCAAGAAGGCTCTGAACCAGTACCAGACCCAGCTGGGAGAGCTGAGACCAGACCTGGGGCCCAGAGAGGTACCCCTCCCTTCACTTCCCTTGATGTAGCTCTAAATCAAGCAAATAATCCTGAGAAGTACTCCCCCACCTAGCACTCCCCCCAATTTGGGGCTACATATCTGATCATCAAAGGCCTGAGTCCAGCATCTACCCTCTAAGTCCACTCCTGCTCCTCACTTCAGACTCTATATCTGAGCCCAAACCCCAGCTCGAAAGTTGCATGGGAGCATGGTGAGGGCTTTAAGGAGCATGCAGGCTGCATGCTAAAGCCAGGGCTCACACTGTCATCCAGTCTAACTCCCTGACCCACGTCAGCCCCTTCTCCTGACTGTCGTCTCTGTCTCAGGATATTCAGCGCTTCATCCAGAGGTCTCTGGGAGAAAAGAAACAGCTCTACTATGCCATGGAGCATCTGGGGACCAGCTTCAGTGACCCCGTGAGTAAGGGTCCTTGTGGGATTCACTGCTTGCCAGCCCCCCTCAACGGTCCCCTGCCGTCCAGTAACAGTAATGCCCTACATGTCTGTGTTACTTCAGTTTGCAACTTTTTCTCAACCCTGTAAGGCTTCACAGGAACAGAGGCAGGTGCCTGTGGTCCAAGGCACATTGTGGGGTTGTGGGGTGTTACAGGCAGGGTGTCAGTTTGGGTGCTGCTCCCAGACAGTTGTGGACCCTCACTTGCCTGAACCTCAGTTGCCTTATCTGTATAACTGGTACAGGCCCACCAGTCTCACAGGCCTGTTGCAGGCATAGCATTTGCTACAAGCTCCAGAAAGTTGGGCCACTGCTGTGTTGCAGCTGTTTTTCACCCCTAGTCCTGTAACATAAAATAGGAGCTCCCCACCTTCTTGGCACTGTTGAGAGAGGAAGGGCTCTGCCCTAGGTGCTGCACATTAAACAGTTTCCCTGGCCTCGGCCCAGAAGACGGCAAGGCACTCTGAGCATGACCATCAGAAGTGTTCCCAGACTTTACCTGATGTGGCAGGCACAGTCACCCTGCTTGAGAACTGCTGGCTCCAAGTGTGGACCTCCAAGCGAGTCCAAATCCCCAACCTGTCACTCGCTAGCAGTGTGATCGTGGGCGTGACACTTTACCTCTGTCTCAGAATCCTGCTGTAACTGGGTGCATTCATGCTATCTGTTGACGACTGGTGGACTTTCCACAGTAATTCCACTCTGTGTCTAACGCTGCTAGAATACCACCTGGCACGCCATGCTATCTAAGTGGTCATTGTTGGGTTATTATTACAGTTTGGCCCAGCACCAGGGCACCCAACAGTGAGTCAGGGCTTTCCCACCTCTAGAGAGCTTCTAGAAGCAGGAGAACCTTGATGCAGTAGTGCAGTTTGAGGTCAGAGAGCCAGGCTGGGCTTGGTAGGTGATGCTGCTTTTCCTGACCGCCCAGGACCCCTGGACCCCATCGGCTTTCATCCCTGAGGCACTTAGAGAGAAGCTCAGGTAGGAGATGGCCTGATTCAGGAGGGGCCCGGCCTATGCTGGAAAGGGGGCGGGTCCTAGAGGCAGGGTCTGGGCAAGATGGGCCTACACGGCCCCATGCAACCGCTTGTCTCTCACCCCTGAGAGAGGATCAAGAGAAGAGGCCTTGGGATGATGAACCTCCTCAGCCCAAGCCCTTCACCGCCTGGAAGGGTAAGTTCCTGAAAGAGCAGGAGGCAGGAGCCTGGAGGGCACGGAGGCAGCTCTCAGGAGTCCTCAGCTCTCTGCCCTGTCCCTTTCCTACAGATGTCCTCCTCCTGGAGGGAGTGACCCTGACCCAGGACGCGAGACAGCTGAATGGGTCAGAGCGGGTAGTATTGGACGGGCTGCTCACGCCTGCTGAGTGCGGGGTGCTGCTGCAGCTGGCCAAGGTAAGAAGAGAGGAGGTGGCACAGGTAGCCTGGGGGCGGGGCGGGCCCCCCCCCCACCCCCGGCCACACTGCCTGTCTGCTTGTTCTTGGTCTGCTCCCTGTTCTGCCCTCACAGATTCTCCACTGCTTCCCAATTGGGGACAATGTCCTCATCTTCTCAACCGAGGCATCAAGGGGTAGATATTCTTTCCAAAGGAATTCTGTTAGAAATTGAGAGGAAGAACAAAACAAACAATGCTGTGGCCTAAAAAGGCGTGAGGATCCTCAGTCAGCCTAGAGTTTAGTTATCACTTGGCTGATGACACAGTGGAGGGCCACCGCTCTTTCCTCTCCCGTGGCTTCTGTTCCTAGCTTGGGTGGAAGGATTTATATTTACCTGCCTCAGTCTGCCCTGTTAGGAAGCGTCAATCTTCATTCTAGGCTAGCTCATTCATCAGCAACACACGCTTGTGAGGGCCTGTGGTGTGTACGCAGAATGATGAGGTTCAGTGAGAGGTAGATGGAAACACACTGGGCAGAGACAGCATCAGATGCAGAGACACGTAATTAGAGCGGGTGGTAAGTCTGATAAAAGAAGTATGTGCTCATCCAGATAGAAGCGCCAAAATGCCAAGTCACAGAAGACTCGCTGGAGGGGACAGCATCCGAGCACCCTCTCAGGGATGAGCTAACCAGGCAGAGAAGAGGAGAAAAGTCAGGCTTTGAGGGAGAAGCACAGGGGTATTCTGGAGACAGTGGAAGAGCCCGGGGGTTGAGGGCATGACCAGTCCCAGCAATTACCTGTGTGACCTTGGGCACTGCACGGTAACAGCACTGAGCCTGTTCCCTCCTCTGTAAAGTGGAGCTAAGCAGTGTTTCGGCTGTAGGGTTTGTAAGCGTCACGACGTGGTGAAGAGCTTAGGAGAATGTTGGAGTGTTCAGTATTGGCTAACATCATTATTTGTCCTCAGGGTGTGTGCTATCCAGAGGCTGCATAGGGATGGGCCAGAGCTGGTGAAGGTCCTGCCTTCTCCTGCCAAGGAGTTTGGACTTCATTTGCAGACTGTGGTCAGGGTTAGAGTTTGGTGTTCCCGTACAACCTCTAAGCAGGCTGTTTAGTCGCCATCCTGAAGAACTGGAGTGCCTCTGTCTTAGGTTAGGTCTTCATTTCAAGGGAATGAAGAGATGGGGCAGATGAGAAATACTTAGAAAATCAAAGACAAAGAAAGTAAAGTTTCAATCTATGTGGAAGATGACGAAGGAAGGAGTCTAAGACCTTCCTTAATTTTTTAAAGCTTTTCATCTTTATTGATTTATGCATACAAGAACTGGGGATTAGACCAGAGGTAAATAGGGTGTCACCAGAGACAGAGTGGGGAGCAGAACAGGCAGATCTACTGAAATCCACTGCTGAGGGGAGCAGCTGGCAAGACCAGACAGGTCTGCTGCGCCATGTGGGTCAGCTTTCTGGCTGGGACTCAAACTCATGCCACAGGGGCTGGCCAAAGCCCGAGAGCAGTGAGACTTTAACCTCTGTGCCAACGTCCAGGGCCTTCTCTCTGTTTGTTGATCACACTGGAGTCATCAAGGCCTTGGACCTTTGCCCCTGCTGTTTCTGCTACCCGAAACATTTTTTTTTCCCTTGGATATTCAAGGGCCTCCTGTATAACATTTGATTTAGCTGTCACTTGTCAATTAGCTGTCTCCAAACCGTGCCTCTCAACACTGCTTTCATTTTCTTTATCACACTTACCACTCTCTGATTTGGTCTGGTTTGTTTATACCTCGAGATAGAAACCCATGAGAGCAGGGACTTTGCCATGTATCCCAGTGTCTAGAACTAAACTTAGCACATACAGGCACTCAGTACAAATTTGTAGAATAAACAAATACTAGACTTGAAGGTTAGAGGGCTTGGGTGGCTAGGTGGCCTCTCAAGGATGAGGTTTATATTCAGGGTTAACTAGGTAACCGTGTACTTCACTGGAGTTTCAAAAAGCAGACAAGAGAATAAGTGTCAGGAGAGGGCCCTCAAATCCCCGGAGCCCCGCAGATGATGAGTCACCTGTGTGGTTAGGTAACTGGGATTCTCACTTCTCCAAGAGCAGGTCAAGTGGAGAGCAATCAGGGAGTGAGTGACAGCCACCACAGTGGTCCTCTGTCCCCTCCCCCAAGAAGTAACAATTGACCTTCCTGTTGGGGTCGGCTGCCACAGAAATGCAAGCCTTCCGCCCCCCTCCCCAGCCACCCTTACACTCTCAGGGACCCATCCCCACCACAGGAAGTTCTCCAGAGTTCTGGGCACTGTCTCCTGAGGGAGTATGAGTCCAGATCTTTGCCAGAAAGTGACATGAAGATTGTCATTCTCTGAAAAAGTCACTTTTCCCAAGAAGATGAACCACGGAGAACTCCGTGCCTCTTCCAGGGAGGGGAGCGGTCAGAGGTTAGCCCAGCAGGGAGCGCGGCGGGTGACACCCTTAGACCTGGGGACAGCGACTGCAGTCAACTCCCTCCCTACCTAGGATGCTGCTGGGGATGGAACCAGGTCGGGTTACCGTGGCCGCCGCTCCCCTCACACCCCCCATGAACGCTTCGAGGGGCTCACAGTGCTCAAGGCTGCACAGGTGAGAAGAGGCCTCAGGCCCGGCCTGGCCCTGTGCGGAGAAGATGCACAGTCAGCTGGGCACCAGGGCCTGGGCTTCTCCTGGAGGCCTCTCCTGGGACTGAAAGTGCCCGAGTCCTGCCCCCAGGGCTGAGGAGGGGTCCTCCCAGACCCAGGGGCTGCATTGCTGTCAGGGAGCCGGCAGAAGGGGCAGTGGAGGTTGATGGACGGAGCTGGCTGCTGAGAGACTCCTGACCTGGGGGTAGCAAGTGGTGGAAGTGGGGCAGCTCTGAGATCACCCTCTCAGGGTCTCCCCGCTTTCTGGCCTTTCACTCCCTTCCTGCAGCTGGCCCAGGCTGGCGCTGTCCGTGGGCAGGCGGCTAAGCTGCTGCTGGAGGCCAGCGAGCGTGTGCGGACCTTGACCCAGGCCTACTTCTCTCCTGAGCGGCCCCTGCATCTTTCCTTCACCCACCTGGTGTGCCGCAGTGCCATTGAAGGTAATCAGGGGCCCAGGAGCTACTCCCAACTTTGGGCACCATGCACTCCTAGCACCCCAAATTTAGGTTTCAGTCTTAACTCCAAAATGATGCCGACCCCCTGCTCAAGTGAGGGCCTGGCTTCCCTGCCCGTGTGCAACGCCCCAGCTGCAAAGCAGCGCCGGTGGTGGCGGATGGGCCTGGGGTCACAGAGGGGTTCACCACACCCCTCTGCTTCCTAGGCGAGCAGGAGCAGCGCATGGACCTGAGTCACCCGGTGCATGCTGACAATTGTGTCCTGGACCCCGACACCGGAGAGTGCTGGCCGGAGCCCCCAGCCTACACCTACCGGGATTACAGGTGGGCGGCCCTCCTGGGGGCCAGCCAGGTGGACCTGGGTTGGGGTCTCATGGCCTCCTGTCTTCCTCCCCTCAGTGGACTCCTCTACCTCAATGAAGACTTCCAGGGTGGGGACCTGTTCTTCACAGAACCTGACGCTGTCACCGTGACGGTGAGTGGGTGGGGGTAGGGATGAGCCCAGCTGTGGGGTCAAGATTCAAAACAGAAGGTCCGTGGAGGCAAATGCAGGGAAATGGCTGGGGCCACCTTGGCCTTTTGCTTACAGGCCTCCCCAACCCTCTCCACCCCTTGTCTATGTCTGGGCTCTCTTCACAGAGGTTGAGAGGTGCCCCCCCCCCGCCACAGGAGATCTCTAAGCACCCCCTCCAGACCCTGCCTCCAGTCTTTTCCTCTCAGTCTAACCCCTGCCTACATGTCCCTATCCCAGGAGTGGGACCTTGAAGTAGGCCTCCCTCCCCACAGCGAGACCACGCAGCTTGGCTGGGCCTTAGACCAGAGTTCACATTTTGGTTCCTAACCTTCCTGAGGCTCAGTTTCCTACATGGAGGTTATAATAGCAGTATCTACTTTCAGAGGCAGGTCACTTGGATGATGCACCTGGTGGTGAAGAACAATAAGCATTAGGAGGTGTTGTTAACCCTCCCTCCATTCCTGGATAATGGAATTTTCCAGATAGAAACCAGGGACTAGAATTGTGTGGGAGAGGGGCTGTGATTTCCCCTTGTCTGTTGCTGTCTTACCCACTTACCTTCTCTGTGCTTACCCACCAGCTCTCTGATTCAAGCCCTCCGGGGATGGCATATGTCCCCAAGATCCTCCTCCCAGTACCAGGGGCTGGACCTGCACTCATACCCTCAGCTCACTTACCCTGATACTAACAGGAAAAATCTGGGGTGGATAAAGGGGGGCGCCAATAGTGGCCCTCGATGGACCCCCCCTTGGGGTCCAACACTCTACCTTCAGTCTGGGGTTCATGCTGCGAGTTGAGACCATTTTCTATTAGCCTCGATATTCCCAGGATTCAGGAGTGGGAAGTGATGGGCAAGTTGAGTGACCAAGGGCCTATCCCTGGAGCTGAACCTGCCCTCCCCGCCCCAGGCTCGGGTTCGTCCTCGCTGCGGACGCCTCGTGGCCTTCAGCTCAGGTGGGGAGAACCCCCATGGGGTCTGGGCCGTGACGAGGGGACGGCGCTGCGCCCTGGCACTGTGGCATACCTGGGCACCTGAGCACAGGGAGCAGGTGAGGGGCACGGGGGTAGGAAGGGCTGTCGCTCTCCCGGTGTTGGGGGGTGGGCAGGCTGATGGGTGAAGAGTAGGGGCTGAGATGATCGGGGAGTATCCTCAGGGCAGAGCAGAGGCAGGGCATTGGGCTGCACTCTCCTCCCCACCCCCAGGAGTGGACAGAAGCCAAAGAGCTGCTGCACGAGTCAGAGGAAGAGGAGGAAGAGGAAGAAATGTCCACCAGAGACCCTTCCCCAGAAGCCCCCAGTCTCAGGCTTCAGCGGGTCCAGGGCAAGCCTGGGAAGCCGCCTCGGGTTCGAGAGGAGCTGTGAGGGTCCGAGCCAGCTGTTTGGAGACGTGGCCACTTGGCTTGTGATGGGCTGCTTGGATGCCGGGACCCACGAGAAACCCTTAAGAAGCAGGAGCGCACCAGCAGAGGGTCCTACACCACCCATCTTGGGGATCACAAGGGCTATGCAGCCCTGGATTCAGAGGCTGTCACATACTAGTCTCGAGTCCACAGGCCTGGGGAGCCAGGCCAGACCCGGACCGATGGCCATCCAGACCTAGGACAGACAGACAGACGGCCCTCTGCCTCCCTGGAAACAAACAGCAGGGGGTAGGACCTGACTGATGGAAATGAGGATGAGAAGGGAGGATAACCCCACTTCCCTCCCCTAGCTTGTCAATAAAGAACACGAAGATCCTCGGCCAAGGCCCAGTGCTGTGTATCCCCAGCTTTCTGGGGTGGGTGTGGCAGTGGTGACCTGGGAGGAGATGGGAGACTCAGCCTTCCAGAGGCAGCACCAGTCTGTGATTTGTCAGGGAAATCTCTGCCATCTGCTCCTCACGCAGATGAACTCAGCCCCCTGGCAGCTGCCCCTGGGGCCTCCACCTAAGCTCTGTCTTCCCCCTCGGGGTTTGGCTCAGACTTAGGGCAGCCTGACCACCAGCAGGGTCCTGGAGTCCTGGGACTCATGAGAGGACCAAACCCCAGACTGAGATCGCCCTGCTCTTGCGCTGTTTCTGCCACTCAAAGCAGGGGGCAGGCCTGCCCAGCCTTCTGTGTACCTCCCGCACCCCCGGAAGCAGACCCAGGGCAGCTGGTGGGGGTTTGTCCAGAGGGATTATCCAGATCAGCCCCTTTTCATCTCAGCTCCTGAGCACCCGCCTGTATCCACGAGTGTCCCCTACCATCCTGTGCTTAGGAACACAACCTCGAGTGTTGACAGTGGGCCACTCCTCATCCTCCCACCCCGGCTCACAAACTGCTTTCCGAGGTAGGGCCTGACTGCCACGGTGATCACCACCGTTGGTGGGGCCCAGGGCCTGGGGGGCCACTGGAGCTATGGCTGCTATTGCTCCCTTGCGCCTCCCTAAACCCATCCCTTAATCCTCACAGCATTGCTTAATCCCACAGGGCCTGATGCTCTTATCTTCCCCTGCAGAGACTCCCCTCTTCAGCCCCTCCTCCCTCTCAGGGTGCACTGTGGGGGGCTGCTCCTTGCTATAGCCCCACAGTCCTGGTTCCACCCCTCCCCCAGTGGCACCCAAGTCTCTGGAAAGCCACACTCCTCCCTCCCTGTCCTCTCCCCCACCAAGCCAGCTGATTTCATTTGCCTGATGCAGGCCCCACCTTCCCTGTCAGTGTCATCTCTCCCCCCAACCCCCTCCTCCTGCTCCACACCTCCAGACGGGGCCAGACCAGGGCAGCTCCTCTGGCAGCAGAGCCGGGGCAGGTGCCAGGTGGACGTTGCAGCTGAGGCGTGAGGAGGCACCGGGAACCTGAGCTGAAAGCTGGGAGAGGTCCAGTCAGAGCCCAAGTAAGAGGGGGCTGGCCTGGCTCTGCTCTCTGGAGCTGGGGGCTATCGGGAGGGCTCAGTGCTGGGGCTGGCGGCGCAGAACCCCAGACTTGGAGGGGCTGGGAGAAATGTGATGCAGGCCATCCCACCATTTCCCTATTCCTGGGAGTCTGCACTTTACCTCAGGAGTAGTCTGGTAGGGGGTGTAGACAGAAATATCACTTGGGGATCCTCTATACCCACCCTATGTCCCTGGCAGGAGCCGGAGCTACCCCTCAACCTGTCGGCCATGGGGGAGATGGAACAGCTACGGCAGGAAGCGGAGCAGCTCAAGAAGCAGATTGCAGTAACCCCACAACTCTCCCATGGGGGACCCAAGAAAACCCCGGACATGAGGAAGCGTGACTTAGGGGCCAATGGGCTGAATTCACTTTTTTTTTTTTTAAGATTTATTTATTTATGCATACAGAACTGGGGTACAGGCCAGAGGTGCAGGGGCAATGAAGACTTCACCAGAGACAGCGGGGGGAGCAGAACAGGCAGATCAATGAAGTACACTGCTGAGGGGAGCAGCGGGGGGTCAGGAGAGGTCTGCCACGCCATGTGGTCACCTCCAGGGCAGGGATTGAACTCATACTGAAGTGGCTTTAGCTTCTCAGTTCTGTGCTCTAACCTGCTGCACCACCAGGGAGGGCACTGAATTCTCTTTTGAATAACACCTTAGAGATCTGAAAGTGATGAGAGATCCTACGTTTGGAGCTTATCTTTGAAACCCGGGAGCCCCAAGCCTACCTCAGAGACCTGTGCCCCCACTGCCCCCATCCCGCTCTCGCCTGCCCCTGATGTCTGTTTTCCCCTCAGGATGCCAGGAAAGCCTGTGCTGACATTACTCTGGCAGAGGTGAGGCCTCCTGTCGCCCTGAGGCGGGTCCTGGGAAGAGGACGGGTGGGGAGCGCCCTGACCAGCAGCAGCCTGGGCCCAAGCTTCAGTACAGCCTGTCCTCGAAATGAGGGACAACATTAATACATTCATTCGACAAACACGTAATGAGACCTGCTCCAGGCCAGGCATGTATTGGAGGCGGAAGACACAGACCGTGGCCCCATCCTGTCCATAATCAAGTGTGGTCACAGCCTCTGGCAGGAAAGTGACAGTGAGCAGAGAAATGGGCTGTGTCAGCCATAAAGCCCCCCAGCGTCTCATCGCTCGTTGACTAATTCTGTACTTAATCAATGGCACATTTCCCCACTCTGACGTCGCTGAAATCCAGATGCATCCAACAGTGAATGATGCTTTGCAACTATAACTGGCAGCATCTTTCTTTCTTGGTGCTACATGAAAGAATGGCGCTTTTTAAAGCTGGTGGAATTGTTAGACAGAACTTATTAACATATTAATAGTAACAGCAAGTGTTTAAAGACAAGTACCGAACACTGGGCTAAGTTACTTAAGTGTGTAGTTTCACTGAATTTTCAGGACAGCCCTGTCAGGTAGGTGCTGTAAGCCTTGTTTTACAGATGAAGAAAAAAGCTCAGAGAGGTGAAGTAATTTGCCTAAGATAACAAAGCCATCAGGCCAGTTGGTTTACGCTGCAGCCCCAGACTAAACCTGGAAGCTGGTTTGAGTTAAAGGGCATAGACCACAGATTTCAGGAGGTTCGAGGTCATGCTGTTGCTCTGGTGCCCAGTTCCGGAGTTGGCATGCTGCAGTGGGGGTGAGGGGCTCCCCGTGGCTTGCCAGAGAACCCCCAGTCCAGGCTCGGCAACCTCAATTGCCCAAGGTGGGAGAACTTACGTGGTGAAAATCACCGCCCTGTTCTCTCACCCCTCCAACACATCGGCCAGGAGGCCATTAAAATTTATCAACAAACTGCTGGCCATTTTTGTGTGTCTCCCACATCCCCCTAAGCCACTTCAGGGTAGGGACGTGTTTCTCTAAAGCCCGGTACAGAACAGAAACTTGTTCAGATCAGTAGCAGTGCCCTACATACGGGCATCTCTGCTCGGCTGATTTCTAATGCCCTTTGCTGCAGTTGGTGTCTGGCCTGGAGGTCGTGGGACGGGTCCAGATGCGGACACGGCGGACTTTAAGGGGACACCTGGCCAAGATCTATGCCATGCACTGGGCAACTGACTCCAAGTAAGGCTGGAGGAGGGCTAGAGGGGGGGGTGGCAGCAGGAAGGAGAGGTGTGGGTGACCCATGGTGCCCTCTCCCCAGGCTGCTGGTGAGTGCCTCGCAAGATGGGAAGCTGATTGTATGGGACACCTATACCACCAATAAGGTACCAGCCCTGCTCCCCCCACCCCATGCCCTCATCACTATGGGGTGCTATGCTATCCCCCTCCCAAAACCCCACTCCAATGCCCCCAGAGCTCAACTCAAGCACTGTCTCTGCCCTTCTGGCAGGTGCACGCCATCCCGCTGCGCTCCTCCTGGGTCATGACCTGTGCCTACGCCCCGTCAGGGAACTTTGTGGCATGTGGGGGGCTGGACAACATGTGCTCCATCTACAGCCTCAAATCCCGTGAGGGCAATGTCAAGGTCAGCCGTGAGCTCTCGGCCCACACAGGTGAGACAGGCTCTCTCCCATCCAGTCCCTAGGGTGGTCTCGGGGGTGCTCAGGAGGTGGCGGGTTGTGATTCTGCTGCCAGGGCGCTTCTTTACCCACACCCCACCGTTCCCCCAGGTTATCTCTCCTGCTGTCGTTTCCTGGATGACAACAATATCGTGACCAGCTCAGGGGACACCACGTGGTGAGGACTGTGGGCGCCAGGGCACAGACTCAGGAGGTGGCTCTGTCCTGGCCTTCGCTGTGACAGCCTCCCCCTCCTGACAGTGCCCTCTGGGATATAGAAACTGGGCAGCAGAAGAATGTGTTCGTGGGACATACAGGGGACTGCATGAGCCTGGCCGTATCGCCCGACTTCAGTTTCTTCATCTCGGGGGCCTGTGATGCCAGCGCCAAGCTCTGGGATGTGCGGGAGGCGACTTGCCGCCAGACTTTCACTGGTCATGAGTCAGACATCAATGCCATCTGTGTGAGCACCCCCTCCCCGCCCCCCGCCGTGTGCTCCAACCCCCTGGGACCACCCCGCAACACACCCTCATCCATCCTGACACCCCATCCCTTTCTAACTCCCCACTTTGAGTGCTTCTACCTTACCAAGAAGTTTCAAAATAGCATAAAACTCCCCCATGATCTCAGTTATCATTTTACCACACTTGCTAGACAGACAGGTAGGTGGATGAAATAGGAAGGTGAATGGGTG